AAAAAAGTTAAAACACTTAAACCGCAAGGGCGGAAAGTAAAACTGGTTTGATGCATGGTCACGTGCCACAACTAATGAATGAAATGCTTAAAACTTTGTTTCCGGAAAACATACAACTTATCATCAAAAACGATCATATCAACGAGACAGTCAGTCGGTGTAATGAATATCCCATCTCTCATATCGCTTCATTTTTTTTTTCAGTAAGGCAACAAACAGAAAATGTTTTAGCCACTTCGCAAAGGTTTGTGATAAGAGTTTTCTATTTAAAATTGAGAAATGCTGTCATCATTGCATTTGAATCTCAGGTAAATTTGGGTTTGTATCCGGTTTATTCGAGGTTCATGCAGTCTACCAACCAATGAATCATTAGATAATCTTGCTAATCAAGCACAACCACCATCGAATTCACTATCGCATATTTTATAAATTTTCTATTCACAGAAGGTTGAACTACAAACAAAATGAATCATATCTCGATAAGTATATGTACATGAGAAATTCATTTAAATCCCCATCGAGGTGTAAAAATGTTAGCATTTTTTCTTTTGAAACTTTCCATCACAATCATCGAATCGTTGTGTGTATGTTTTGGTGTGATAAATCTATCGTCGAATCGTTCATGCTCACAGTGTGTTGCCAATCGAATGAAATGAGCTAGAAAAATGGCCAAAGCTTAAATTAGTCAACAATGCAATGCTCCAACTAAACATCGGAACCAATTCCACATAATTATGGTTTACCGTTAGCATAGACTAATGTATGTCGATGTAACATTTATTTTATGACCTGGGTCGAGAATTTATCGGTTTGCACGCATACATGTAAATGTGAACACCATCTGAAATAAAGAAATTAGAAAACGATTTCTATATATGCCGTGAGCAAAAGGTTGCCACACCGCCACTGAAATAATCACAAAAACACTTTCACAATTTTCCATTTGGTGGTAAATTCAATAAAAGGATTTGATAATCGTATTTTCGGCGATTTCATTTCGTTGTTCGCCATGCTGACCGATTTATTAATGTAAATTGAAAATGTCAGCTCGTTTCTACTGATGCAACCATTTGCTTTGGCCACAACGGCAAGACATTGGACAAACTATACGCTAAATGAAAATGACAACCGAAAATTACCCACATGTGTAAATCTCAAATTGTGATTGAATACACAGTGAGCAGGGAAAATAAAGTCGCGTCAGAGGATGGCACGCGTCATTTTCGTTTTACCAGATCACTTAATGGCACACATTATTAGTAAAGTAGATTAAATGTGATGCATGCTATGCATATACGAGGTGATATATTTTCCTTTTTTTGGGGGGGACGCCACACATACCATCATTTCGACCGAAAATTCATCCATTCTATGCGGCGGGACACCAAAAACGGCAATATTTAATGCGGTGCAAATAAAAGACTATTTTATGGGCGCCGGTGCAATTGTACCAAGTATGAAGACTATATTCAGTGGTTCGTTGACACGTGCCACACAAAACTTTTTGCAATAAATCTTCACCACACTGACCAACCCCGTCACTCTAATTGATTTCGAGAAGATTTTTCATCCACGCAGCCACATCTATACAACTGTCAGTTTACTCATTCATTTGCAGTAGTTTTTTTTCTCTTGCTCACTCTCTTATTCACACGGGCAGATTCCGTTCCGTTTGAACTTACAATGTAGGAAAAGTAATATAGAGTGATAAAAATTGAGACAAAATGTAATGCAAATGGCAAATCAGTAGAATAAAATTACTGCGTTTTTCGTGAATATTTTAATTTTTCACGACCATTAGATTGAAATTCTCTACAAATGTATGCATTTTTTCGTCGAATTTGAATAGATTTTTTTGTATTAATTTGAAATTCGAGTTGGTTTTTAAATAATTCAATTACTATGTTATTCAATATGGATTCTATGTGTGTCAAGAGATAGTATGTACTTTAGTTCGGTTTCAATAGCTGAAAATTAAATAAATGCATGAATCCTTTCCGTGGTCAGTGTGGGAGAGTGTACAGAAATGGCAGTGTAAATAAAAGAACAAGACTGTGCCATTTGATGTTTGGTATAATAAAGTGTTGGATTGCACAAAAGCCACACGAACCGAGCACCATGTTTAACTCTTTTGATAAAATAGTCGCCGAAAGCAATGAAACAAAATGCGTTGCCATATAAAAGCGTTACCAGCAAATATGTATACGATGTGAAAAAAAATGTGAACGAGAGAAAAAGAATAAAAAATTTTCTGTGGTATTTTGGAATTTCATCGTTTACAGTTTTAGTTAGCTAGTTTATTCCTAATGTAACTTTTTCGCTCCTCAACTTGTGTGGATTCTGTTGTTTAAACAACCTGTTGAGTGACGACGTGGAATTTTGTTCCAACAAAAATGGAAAATATTTTTATCAATCACGTAAGATATATGTTATGTGTTTGTTTTTTCTTCCACCGAATCATTCAACAACAACTCACAAACAAACGATAAAACATTTCTAAAGGCATTGGAGCAAAACTGTAGTATTTTACTCATATATTTCGAGCATATCCCAAAGATATGATTAAAAATGGATATATTTACGTCTTCTAAATATTTAATAAAGTGGTCATGTTCGTCTAAAAATATAAAACGGCTACATGTATGCATTGGAAATGATGAAGTAGGTTGTAATTTTGAGAAAAAGAAACCCAATGGTTATGTCAAAATAAATAAACTATGCTGGCGATCACATCGAATAAACATTATTTCAATGGCACTCTGTCAAATTGTGGTAATTTATAGAAAATGAGAGGTTCACTTATTGTTTATATCATTAGGCAATCGAACTGAATTGTTTTTTTTTTCTTCTTTTTCTCTCTCTCTCTCTTCGCCTTTCGGCATTAATCGGGTGTCATTAATAATTCATTGGTTAAATACTAAATAATTCTGTTGAAACAAGGTGTTAACGGGGGAATTCGATGTGAATGCTGATATATATTTTGATATTAACCACTTTTCTGCTCAAATGACTCAGGTAAATATTAGTTATTACAAGCTTGTTCAAATAGAACATTCGTGTTCACGTGCACATGTATGTGTGTGCGTGCGCTTTTGTTTCGAAACCTTTTATTGGATTACAATCCATGGTCATGGTGGATGGCTATCAGTTGGATTTTAATTTCAAGCATCACCATCAACATTTGTTCGCACTATCATGACTCAGACATAGCTACTTAAACATACCATGGCATGGATGTAAAGTGATTTAAATGAGCGTTTTTTGTAAACAACAGCAAAAATCTCTTCCATTCAAAACGCAAATTTTCCCATACATTTCCAACCACTTTTGCTCTTTTCCTCTAATGAACAACTCCCACTTCATTTTTCTGTATGACAATGTGATGGTCAAAAATTCTCCGGAATACTTCAGTGATATCTACGTCATTCAACTCATAAAACATAATAAAAATCAACTTAATTAACTTATGCATATCCATTGCATCGTTGCAATATCCATATGACTTTTATTCTTATACCAGACATGATTCGTTTAAATTGCACTCATATATGAGGATAACGAACCTTTCATTCATAAGCAAACATTGCTTGGATTCATTTTATATCATTTATTCATCGAGCGCATTCATCCATTACAAATCTGCTCACATTAAATCAACCAGACGCCAAAACAGAAATTATAATTTAAAAAAAAATCGTATACTATGCGAAATTGTACGAAATAAATACAGTGTTAATTGCATGAACATAAAATGTCAGATGATAAAAAAAAAATAATTGGAGAATGGAGAAAGAAGAATCATTTATAGTTAGTTCATCATATATGAGTGTAACTGAGTATGCACAGTCAGACAAAGAGAGAATGTTCATGAATTGCTTAAAAGCGTCCATTTTTGAAGGATTTTTTACTGGTTGGCCTGTTTTCATTGGAGCGTTTGTTAGTAAATGCACTTTCTCACACTATCCATCTCTCTTTTGCTTTCTATTTTACTATCCATCATTTCTCCCAATTTCGGTTGCCCATTCCATGGCAATTCTTTTGTCAATGACTAAATGAAAACGGGAATGTAATTTCCATTTTATTAAAATTAAACCAAATGGTATTCATTCACTGCATTTTCGTGTCGAATAAAATGAAAATACTTGCAGTGGCAACCGCGTTGTCGATACAACTGCATCAAACCAATGTGCAATGTAACACAAGCCACAACATATAGATTCTCTACGACACGATGCAACAGACTGAAATTATTACAGTTTTTGTTCAAATTGTCATCATCGGACCGGTATGCGATCAATTGAATTCGGCGGACCAAATGCAAACAATGAAATGTGCTTCGATTCTTTTTTCATGTATGCATTTCTGTCTGGTGTGGAGTGTTCGGTTCATATAAAAAATTGAACGACTGTGAGACTGCAAGTTTTGTTGAAATCACAATGAAACGCAACCATTTTGCACATCATTCCGAATGACTGCGACCATGAGGCCGAAATAAAATAATTATTGACACTGAAAGAATCAACGAAAAAACTCACACAACCTCACCGAACTAACTTGCATTGCTCAAAGATATACACATTGATGTACATGTTGGTAAAATGATAACATTGGTGTGCGGTGGACTTTTTTTTCTGATGTGGTACAATTTCGAATGATAGCATTCTACATTTAAGCATGTGACGATGCAGATACCGACTGTGACAAGCAAAAAAAAAATTTGAAACGACGGAATCTCTGTTCTTTGTTTTTTTTTATGAAAGCGACAATTGAACCGTACTGTTCAGAATTTAAAATGAATTTAAAGTGATTTATTATTTAACCTTTGGCTTAGCCTCTCTGTTATTCTATTATTGGTTAGATTTAACCAGTGACATGGAATGTGTATGGGGGTGTATGTGTGTGTGTGGGTGTGTGTTTTATTTTGAAATTCAGTTCAGTTTTAACAAAATAAAATCAACCTCAAACATTGATCAGGCATGCCTATGAAATGATTTATTTACCTATGACTTCCGATACGGCTCCATACACGTTGACATGCATCGTAAAAATCATCAGCATTGCTTGTAGCAGTATGATCCCGACGTTGACAAACATTTTTGCGTTGTTATGGTCACTTGTTGTCTGTATATTTTTGTTGTTGTTGTTTCTTCTGTGTATTTATTTCGTAAGTAAATAAACAAATGGACACTCGAACATATATGAACACGCACCAATTGTATACACGCACAAATTTGCCCGTTTTTTTTTCTCTTTATTTTTAAAAAAGTTCCACCGAACTTCGATGGTGCACGAGACAAAAATGAAATGTGCACCGTTGATTTGTCTTATTTATTTGATTATTTTTAAATGCTTGTTGCAATTTCGACTAATAAACGTTATACAATTGCCTTAAGCAATAATAAATTCTAATATTATAGAAATGTTATATTTATTCTTCGATTCAGTCTATGAATTTTATTTCGATTTAGACGGCAGACACATTTTTTATCGTTCGATTTCAATTGATTTTTTACCGACGTTATTTCTTATAGTTTAGTATTGGTTTTTTTTTTATTTGAATGGCGCGCGCGTTTCTCTTCGTGTTTTTACTGTGGTTTTTCTGTATATGTTTTTTTTTTTTTTCAATTTTTGTAGCGCTCATACATTATTTCCTTGTTTGCTATGGTTTTTTATGCATTATAAGTGAGAGTGTGTGTGCGTGTTATTTTTTTTCAATTTCACTTTGTTCACGGCAATGAATCGAGCCGTGTTCGTCTTGTTGTTGTTCGTTTGGTTCCTTTTTCATTTGGGTAGAGACAAACAAATGTACACATCGTCTTGTGCCGTCATCAACTCGACGGTGCAAGCAATGACGAACAACACGCAAACTAAATTCTCAACCAAATAAATACCATACGGTCGTTTGTTCTCTGTCTTTTTCACGTTCGCCTCCTTTTCTTTGGCTCTCTCTTGCTATGCTTCGCTTTTTGTGGTGTTTAATTTTCGTTTTTCAAATGAATTTTCTATTTTCGAACCGAGCGCTGATTTGTTTTCCACCGGTCTGATGTCGTTGTTATTTTACTCTACAATTGCTTTGCTGCCGTCTTTCAGTGTCTTTATTATCGTTTGTTTGATATGAGTTTGAAAGTGTAATTATTTATTGTTATTATTTTATGTTTTGTTTCCTTGGAGTTTTTGATGATTGGTTTTGTGTGTATGTGTATGAGAGTGATTCCTTTTATCGTCTGCGTCGTTGAGTGATTTCCAATTGAATTGTGTGCGTCTCTGTGCCAAAATAAAAAGAAACAGATAATAATAAAAGCTCTATAAAATTCATGCCAATCTAAATCTATCTCGATGTGCCAGAGTGGATTTAATGACGAATTGGTGTGATTAAGTCTTTTTTTTTGTTGCGTGAATTGCGCACACTACACATTCATCGAGGTTATCGTTCAATGCTCACATTTACTGATTGCCTTTTAACCTTGATTATTAGACATAAAAATTCAAACCAAACAAACTCAAGACAATTACACAACATTTCTTCGTCTAGTTCGCCAATGCGCGCTTGAAATCATACACATTTATCAACTAATTAAGCAAAAGGAGAAAAAAAATTGCACATCGCAAACTTAACAGCGGCAAAATCAATAGATTCATTTTCAAGTGATTGACGTAATATTCATTTTACCGTGTGAACACCCTTAATTGCAATGCGATAATCAGCTTATTATTATACTCAATTGCATCGTAAAACTTTGTGCAGTAGAAAATAGAGCGAGAATACTAAGAAAATACATTAATCACTTCAAAATATCTTCAATTCAAAAAGATTCAATTGGTAAAAGAATGCAAAGCGAAATCTATTTGCTCTCTCCCACTCTACATCTACTCGTTTTTCTTTCTCTTTCTCTGTGTGAAATAAGAAAATATTTTGTTTTTCTCTCGATCGTTACAAATCATAAAATATGCTTCTTATTTTATCTTCTTTTTTCGTATTGCAACAAAATTCCTGGAAAGACATTCAAAGTATGCACGCTTCTCGCACCCAACGCTTTTTTTCTTTAACGCTTCTGTTATGCTCTTTTTGTTGAATTTCCAAGTTTTACGAGATATTACGGCACTTAAATGAAATTAGAGGAACTTTTGACGCCGTCAACAAAAATAGGTCGATATGGTAAAAGTAAACTTTAAAGATCTTTCAGCGACGGCGGCAATATGTTATTTGTGCTGCCAGACATTTTGTGAGAAAACTAATCACTAATTGAGTATACTTGCATTGTAAATGCATATGTATGAGCGTCATAATGCACAAACCGTGCAAATTATGCGTATGCAATCGTATTTGTTCTTCTGACGAAATGCCAATTGTTCAAATATGCATCCAGCTGTAATGCAAACTATAATGCACCCTGTCGAATTTGATGCACTTTCTCTCTTCCTTAAACTCTCTCACAATCTACCTTGTTCTCTCTCTCCCTCCCACTCCCTCTATGGGCCTGGCACTTTTAGTTTATAAATTTACATTAATTTATATGTTTGTTTTTAATTACAGATTTCTTGTTGTTGGTGAGGGTATGTGCAATGTGCATTTTCGAAATGGGTGGTGGGTGTTTTGTATTTGCTTGAGCAAATATCTGAAAACCAATGCACATGCATTTGTAACAAACGCGCTTCCACCGCACATTCATTACTTTTGGGGGCGAGATAAACAATAGAAATCCAGTACATGTGTGTGTATCAGTTATTATAAAATGTCATAACTTTCGATTCGGTTACTTATTTACATGTCACATGTATCGGGAGCGAACAAATTCAACGTAAATCCATTTCACACACACACACACACATGCACACTCATATTTGTTACAAGTAATCTCCTTTATTTTTCATATATATATTATACGATTGAAATCAAATATTAATCTTTTTTTCGGTAAATATTTGAAATAACAAATGTTGATGTGTATATTTTGAATTTGGAAGACCAGCAAAATAATTAAAATTAAATTGATTTCCAAATTGGAAATCATATTTTCATTCAACCCATTCAAAGTGGAGTACAAAAATTGTTGCGATAAATTAATATTCTCATGGCCTTTTTTCTTTCTCTCTCTCTATCACACACACACACACTTTTGATCGTTTGATGTCACTTTCCCCCCGGGAATTTGTCACGAATTATTAAAATTATGGATTTTTTTTTTGTTCGATTCAGGTCGAACATTCATATGGTTTCAATTTATTTTTGCAATATGCTGTCATGACATAAAAACCAATCAAGAGAGAGAAAAATAAAATAAAAACTTTGATTGAATAGAGATGATCACGAGACATTGAAGCAGAGAAAATAAAAATTTAATAAACAATGGAGTGCACAATACAAAAATCAGTAAAAGATCTCAACTATTCTCAACGGTTGTTTTCGAACAAATGAATTTCATTTGACTCTGGAAATATATTTAAAAGGCGAAATTGTGTCTTTGGAGCGAATAAAAATAATTCAACCAATCAAATAAACTACAGTAGAAATATATTGAAATTGAACTGGAACGAAATGAAGAGAGAGGGAGAGAAAGAGGAAGAGACAACCAAAATTGACACATTTAAATGACCAAATTGCCTGACATACGTTTCTTACGGCTGAATATTTTATTTTATTTTTTTCATTCTGAAAAAATATATGATTGGGTATTTTCCATTTTTTTCTGGACTTTTTCGCTTTATTTCCGCTTAAAATAAATTTTCGTCGGTATGTGTCTCTGGATTTTTGGACAGCCGATCAACGACCAATTCTGAACCAAAAATAAAAACGAAATATGAATAATTCAATAAGCATAACTGTACAATTTTAATCAATGGTTGCGCGCTCAATGCTCTGAAAAAAAATCCTCACATAACTCGATTCGCTTTATCTCACGAGAACTCGATAATTTGTTGAAATAATTAAACGTCTGTCGAACAAACAGAAAATAAAAAAAAAATCCACAAAACAAAAAGGTAATTGTCAAAAGCTCAGATCCGCATCCAAATTGAGCATCGAATAGAGTTGATAAATGAGAATGAAAATCTGTTTGGAAAATGTCAGTGCTTAAATGCATTTAAAAAAAATTGTTTGACTTACTTAATTAAAAATTTTGTGTTCGTAATTTGAATCAAATGGTCGATTTTAAAAATTTATTGTGTATTTTTATTTAAAAAAAAGGGAGAAAAACGAGTTGAAATATCCGTTTTTATTTTCAATATTTTGTTTTTGTATTTATTTATTTTTATTTTTTTCGAATTTCTTAAATCAAGTTGTTCGATTTTATTCTTCGATTTTAACCGTTACAAACATAGTTCGTGCGTCGTTTTGAAAATTCAAAATGCGAATGAAATGTTGTTGGCTTGCTACCGCAACAGCTATTGAATAATGACTGACTGTGATTTCGTTGCAACCGTCTAGCAGTTGGTTGCTGCTAGCGCGTGTTTTTCAACAACGATGGCGCATGCGTTAGACTTTCTCTTTCTTACTTGTTCCATTCAAAAACAAAAAAACTGGTGAGACAACATATCTATCGATAGAAACTTGCATACACACACAGTTCCCGTTCGGAATGTTATGTTGATATTTTTTGAATGCACTGGAGTGGCGTTTTTTTTTCTTTTTTCAATTTGTACATTGCATTCACAATGTACACAACAACAATAACAACGGCGACAATGACAGCAGCATCATCGAAACGGATAATCCGTGCACAAATAATTGTAAGTATCAAAACTGTATGAAGATTGAAAGATAAATAAGTGTAGAGAAACTGAAAGAGAAACAGAGAGACAAAGCCGGAACAAAGAAAAAGTGAATCGTCTTTATAATGTGAATAAAAAGAAACAGAAGAAAATGTGCATGCTAAAGATTTGGATGATTGAACGTCGACGCGGACGACGAACGAGTGCAACAGAGTGTAAGGAGAAGTTTGATATTGTTTTTATTGGGTTGATTAAAATGAATGCTATAGTATACCGGCGGTTGCAATCCACATTTTTTCTTCTCTCCCACCTCACAATTTACTCGCGAATGAAACAAAACACAAACATTCATCGTTGTGATACAGTGCGTGCACTCGATCACTCGCGTCGTGCGCTCCTTTGTATAACTAAAACAAGTGCCAGATACATTTTCTACACTTTATGATAAGACGGGGAAAAAACCGAAGGAAAAAAACAACAACAAAACACACTTGAGATGGATGGATTTATCTCGTTTTCACACTAAAATAATAAACATAATATATGCATATTGCAGAAATATCTTTTGATCTGTCAGCGCCATTTGAATAAAATAATGAATCTGTTGAATTGAATGAAACTGGTGCACAATGCACGGCCGATTATTACTACGGAAAAGACCAACGAATCAATGTGAATTTCCGCGAATTGTTTTTTTTTTTTTTTTAACAGTCCATGCACACAATGGCACATCAATCGCTTGTGTACCGCCTTTCAATGGGTATTATTGTACTTTTAATTAGCACAAAATGGTACGTCATCATTTTTATTCATTTATGTTCGCACACTTTATCTCTCTCCCCCTATATTCATCTTCCTCTATTTATCTCTCGTTCACTCTTCACGCTCTAATCTTCAAGTTCCTCTGAGCTGACACGTATCCCACCGACGATTATTATTATGATGCACCATGGAATAACATTTTTTATGTTGATTGTGCACTATTTTCCATGATTTTTATGTAAAACTTTGCTAGTTTAAGCGATTTTTGGCCAATCATTTTTTGCTCACTGCACTTTAACAAAAACAACTTTTGGCAACGAGTAAGCAAGCTATTGCAATAAAAATATGTTTGAATATATATATATTTTTTTTCCATTTTGGCATATTTTAACATAAAACTCAATTGCCCACGGAATAATACATTTTCGATTACCATCATTTTTCAATTAAACAATTGCGATAACAGCATTTTTCTATTTTAGAAAAAAAATGGAGAAAAAACTTGATACTGTCGCTGAAAGGTAAATAATTTACTGAACAATACAATTGAATTGTCAATACGGTCGGTATTTTTTGTCTCGTTTATTCAATCGGTTATTTTGCATCTAAAAAGACTTACTCGCACAATATTTATGAATGAAAAAATGTTAATTTAATGAATATTTGCCAAAAAACTATATTAAAATCCTTTCGTGATGCTTCGAGCTGACTTTGTGACCATCATCTATGATTTTTCTGCGCCTACGTCATGTGTGTGTGTGGACGAAAAAGTTTTTGACAAAATTATATGGTATTTGGACCAGGCGCAAAATATTCATTCAAACCACAGTATCTATTCCCAATGGAAAATTTATAATAGAATATACACATCGTATGAAAAGTACGTATAGATTAAATCCGGCTGACTTTACTTCGTGGTTCTGACGAAATGCTTCATAAAGTTAGAGAAACAATGAATTTTTGATATGTGCATCAACATGTGTATTTGATTGGCAGCCGCTTGAATATTGAATATTACGCGGGAATTCCACATTGTTGCTCTTCTTTTCGCTAAACTTTTCGAACGAAACAAAACAGACACTGAAAAGTTTTCATGGAAATATATTATATACTGTATAATTTTAGAAGTCTTTTGATAAACCGCACCTCTTTCGTTCTCAGTTCTCTCTGGTCTATGGAAAGCGAAGTGATGTGGTGGAAAAACATCTCACAAAATAATCCATAACATAAATATCGAGCAAAAAGGACAACGTTCAATGGCACTATCATTACTATTAATTTGAGTCAAAAATTGAATCGATTTTGAGTCATAACTTATGTCACAAATCCGAAAATTGAAAAATTAGGAAAAACTAGAACTTATTAGGTCACGTCATAGCTTCTGGAGTTGGCGATCCAGTGGGGGGGTTAATTTCCAAATTTACCAAAAATGTAAAGGGGTAACTTTTTCGATTTGGTTTCGCACAAATTCAAAAATGCATTTTTGAATAGTTCATTCCTGGAGGGAGGTGTCTCAGAGCATTTGCCCCAAAAAAAAAACTAGCAAATTGAAAGATTTTTCTCTTCGCCCAAAAAATCTAGCAACATTTTATATTTTTTCCCGTTTTAGAAAGTGAAGAGCAAAAAAAAAAGGTCTTCACATTTTTCGCGAGAATCCCTAGCAAATCAAAAGAATATTTTTCTCAAAAAAATGAAATTTCTAAGGGAGTAATTCCCAAAATATGTTCTCCAAGGGAGGTAATCCAACCCCTCGGACCCCTGCTCAGAAGCTATGGGTCACGTCCATGTTATATGCGTTTCACTAAAAAGAAATAGGAAAAATTATCAATACTAGGATCCGTGTCTCCCCCTAGGTTATGGATGGCATTTTTAAGGCTATAATCGAATGAGCATGTTGGCCATAATCGAATGGTTTTTGTAGGTTGTTTAGACGAATGGATGAGGTAATTTCATTGATAAAAATTGCATCGAATCACAGATGAAATAAACAAATAGTCGCACGCGCTCACACATTTGATAAAAGCTTTCACAAAACTTTTTATAAGTTTTACATGATGCAGTGTTATTTAGTCAAACCGCAAATGTACTAGAATTAGCCGTTATAAATCCGTTTTTTCATGATTTCGTGTATATCCGTTTTTGTTCGTTGCTTTTATCGGAATTTCATGTATAAATTCTGGCATGTGTATTTACATTCGTAAATAATGCATGCATCTCGGTCATTTTATTTTATTCATAGATTCATGAATCATCACAAATGCAGAGATGCACTCTCTTTCGCTCGTTGCACTCGTTTGTTCGGTGTTGATTAATTCAATAGTTTTTTTTTCGAATTTCATTCGCATTTGGCGAATCCCAATGCACTCCATTATTTGATTTATAACAGCTGTCCAAGAGGGTGAGTTGTGCGTTTCTTGCATTGTTTGCATTGAGGATCGTGATTTTTCTCGTTCATGCAAATCGTCATCATCATGCGTGATTTTTTTTTTCATATGAGTTGAATATTTAGATGTGATTAATTTTTTCCTTTTGACCAAACAAGAGTCATTTGAATTTAAAAAAAAATTGTGTTCAGCATCGCAAACATTTCCCTATTAAATGTATAAATTCATACTGAGTGTCTATTATTTGCGGAGAAGTCAAACACAGTGGAAAAATGTATAACATTGTTCAGTTGATTTTATTTTTGAGTCGTTTCACATAATTTTCACCGGAAAAAAATGTAGTTGATTGTTATTCGAAAAAATGCGGAAAAATAAATAACATTTTTTGACTTTCAGATGCGAAAAAAAATAACACACAGTGAGTCGAAAAGCAAACTTGAGCTATTCAAGTGAATTCATTTCAGAGATTCGGAAATGCCTGACGATGATACTTGATCATATAACGTGCTCGCGCATTTCAACGAACTGACGAGAATATACATACATAATTTTTTAATTTTTATGCGCGCCATTACAACAACAGTTTTTTTTCGTTGTTGTTTGATTTTCCAAACCGAAATTTTTGTTTCAATTCACATGTCCGAGCTTCTCCTAAATGAATGATTTTTTTTTCCATTCATTGTTCCGAGTTTGAAGACTCTTAATCCAGTCGAGCTACCATTATTATTATTTTTAAATTCCATCAAAATCTGTGTGGAATTATTTTCTGCTTGGAATTAACGACGAATGAAAAATGTACAAATAAAAACTGTAAACAAAAAGTGTAACTGTATTTTATGAAATCAATCATTCAAACTATTTGTACTGTACGGTTCTTTGCATGCGGCTGAAATTATACTTGAATTATCTCCCCAATGGCAATTGTTGACCACACGCTCAAAACCCAATCACCATACGGATCACCGAGTGACTAATCCCTGATTTTTAGTGCTTGAAATACCATTTCGCAGTGTAATTTTTTTTTTGTGTGTGCTTATATCTTGAAAACTCAACCGAGACCGGAATCGTTTTTTTTTTGGAAAGCACTAAATAAATAAGTATGTATGGTTTGTAATTGTGGCGCGGTTATTATGCGTTATGAACTGCATGCAAACTTCCCATTTCGTTCACATGAAGACGCGGTTTGAGTTGTTGCACGAAAAAATATTTTCGCCCTCTTTTTGCTGCCGCCATTTTCGAAAAGAATAGTGCATTACAACCACAAATGAATGAAAATCGAAAATGTTGTAGTTGAAACAT